GTACCATGTCAGGTCAGTCCTTCTTACCGGACTCTTTTTCCCCCTTAAGTGCAGCAACTTAATTTCGCTGTGTAATCAAATTCAGGCCTTTGTATCAATTGGTGATGGGGAGTACCGGAAACCTTGTACGGGTATGTGGAAAGAACTTTTGGAGGCTAACGGTGAAGTGGACGTGGACGTTAGCAAGTCGCTATACGTTGGAGATGCAGCAGGACGACATAAAACTAAGGTTTGCTCATTTTTATCATGCCCTCCTGCTCATGGATTATGTTTTTAGACCCGTCCAAAGAAAGATCATTCTTGTGCTGACCGCTTCTTTGCGATGAACGTGGGAGTCAAATTCTACACTCCCGAGGAATTCTTCCTCAATCAGAAAACATCCGAGCCTTGGGGTCCTCCAGCGTTTGATCCTGTTGCTTATTTGGATGCAAAGAAACCTTTGTTGGAGCCCAAAGGTAAGATTGAGATTGACTACCGATACCTTATCAATGTAACACCATGATTTTACACTGCAAGTGTCTTCGTGTTTTCCAGACGCTCCGCTACCCTCCTCTGAAAAAGAGGTTATAGTAATTGTTGGCTTCCCTGGATCTGGCAAATCAACGTTTGCTCGCATGCTTGAAAAGGAACACGGTTACATGATAGTCAATCGAGACACCTTAGGCACCTGGCAAAAATGCTGTGAAAGAGCTCGAGTGTATTTGAGAGATGGAAAGAGCGTAGTTGTGGACAATACGAATCCAGACAAAGAATCTAGGTAAGAAGATACACATCGTCTTTAGTTTCTCTACATGGAAGGATTACAGGAGTCGTTATATTGCCTTGGCTAAAGAAATGAAAGTCCCTTGCCGTTGCTTCGAACTTACTTGCGATCTCAATCACGCGAATCACAACGTCAAGTTTCGGTTATTGACAGAAGATGACCACAACGAGGTTACGATTATGGTGCTACGGACTTACGCCAAAAGATACCAGGTAAGTCATGTTCTCTTCCAAATAACAAAATTGTGGCATATTGATTGGGTCTGCTGGTTTTCTTTCCAGACATATGGTTTGGCGGATTTGAGTACTTTCTTACCGAAAAAAAA